TTTTATATCAGTAAATTTCTGGAACTTAAGTATTCATCAATAAGGAAATAAAGGCATTATAGTAGACAGACATCTCAGTTCTCTAAGTGATTTTCAAAGTATATTATTAAGTGAAAAAAGTACAGAAAAATGTGTATAATGCTATCCCAAAGGGCAGGGTATCTGTCAGCATGCCTCTTTCAGCATAGATGTGTGTTTTTATATTTGCATTTCTATTTAACGACGGAAACACCAAGGAAAAAAAGAGACATGATTACAAAACGGGGAAAGGAGAGACCAGAGTATACAACATAGAATGAAAGTTAGATTTTTCTTAAAGTAAGTATGTTACGGTTTTGGTTTTAGAATCATCAGATAACTTAGAATGATAAAGCAAAATTAACACGACAAACTTTAAAAAATTAAAAACGAAAATTATGCAAATGGGTTGGTGGTTCTGGGTCCAATCGATGGGTTAATTCTGCCGAACTTAACTCTTTCAAATGAGCTTAGAGCGTAGTGAGTTGAGTATATATCCCAAATGGGGACTATACGGATGAAAAGAACCACAATGCATCTTAAATATTAGTCAATCATTTGCGACTAATAATATTCCAATTGTTATTTTGAAGTACTATCTACACATGTAGATATAGTGAGGAAGAGCAGGGAATAAGTAAATATGTGAATGCCTTAAGCCATGGTGTTTGGTACAAAAGAAAATAGACAAAAATGAGCTAATCGGTCTTAAATTTGAATGGAAACAGCAGGACCTCACGAAATGGCAGCATAAACTCATTCAGGATGAACTCAAATATCGGTAATGAGTCTCAAAAAGTGTGTATTCTAGCTCCGCACACTGCAAAGGCCTTGAAGCAATGGACAAACATACCAGTTGCAATCAGTATCCCTAGTGGCCACATTATGGGCTCTAAAACAAACCAGAGCCCCTTGGAGAAATAACTGGTTCCAGATCCAGGGTGTAATCTGGACAAGATGTGTCCGGAATATCTTACAGTACCCCAAAGCTAGGATGTATGTTGAGGCTATGTCAAAAGGACTCAAGAGGCAGTGTGAAAGGGCTCACAAATGTAGCACCACGAGTGCTAAAGGAATAATAAACACAACGACTTGAATTGCCAATGCAGTAACACCCTTGAGTATATTAAATACTAAAAAATCCCCAAGTGGTCCTTGGTCACTTTAAGTAACTGAAACTGGGTCAGCAACCCAGCACTCTGAAAGGGAACGAAGAAGGCATTGATTCTGCGTTTCATGTATAAACCATGTTTCAGGAAAACCAAATAGCCCATAGTTATTCTTTATGGAAGACCACTTTTATCCAAGCGATAAATGTAGAAAAAATTATAAAGTTAGAAGAATCACCATTTGCAATGCCTAATGAATTAGCGAATCCAGGCAACAGCCCTCACTGGCTGGTAAATCTATCATGTGAAGGCTGATCTGTCCGGTGAACGTCTACTATGATTTTCTTGGGACAAGATCCGCTTTACATTAGTTGTGTTATCAGCATTACTGATACTACACCTCCCTGCGCCCCCTCTTCATTTGGAAAGAACGGAGAAGGCCAATAACACCTGAAACAGCTGCTCAATCTTCATAGCACAGTGAAGAAAAGAGACACAGAGACGTCTGTGCCTTCTGATGGACTGTGGATGCACGGAGAAGTATGAAGCCCCATCTATGGCATGCTATTGCCAAGGGGTCAAGCCTGAATTGATGCCGCCTCGGGCTCTATCAGCTCAGAGTCAACACCAGTGACAAGAACGTGTTAAGAAGCACAGCGGGGGTGCGGTCCGCCAGATCCAGGATTTCTGAAATTCAGAGACACGATGACCTGGTCTCTTCAACAAATAAATGGAAGGGAAAACGGGAGGATTGATATGCAGTTTTAAAAATATTTTTATAAAACATGTCAAAGAAACACAGTCTGGACATCTTTCTTGAATTCTGATTTGACTAAAGCTGATAGTGAAAAGACATTTAAAAGTACAGGATACGTATAGTGCAAAAATGAACTCTGCGTCTCTAATATGTGGGAATATGAAATGTGCTACCTCTCTCCTCCGTTGTTAAAGTAGCTTTTTCCCAGTAAATGGATTCTACCTTGCTTTAGTTTTCTCCTCTTTCTTTTAATGCATTTGTTTCAGGTGGGCTCTCAAAGGAAAGATGATGGAAAGAGCCCTCGTGCCGGCTTGGTACTTGGTTGAAGTGTCACCAGGCTCTTCTGAAGACACGAAGCTCACAAGAAGACATGGCACATTGTTGAGGAGGTTTGTCTTTAGCACTCAGTCCTGGTGCAGTCCTTTTCCCCAGTATCTGGCTAACTGTGGACCTACTGGTCTGACCCTCAATCTTGCAGGACCCTCCCACCTCCATCCATCCTCACACAGCTGCTTCTTCCATTTTCTCCCTCCTCCCTTCCCACATTCAGAACACACACACACACACACACACTTTCAGATGTGCCGATTTTATGTTAATCACCACTATGCCTGCACAATGGTGGTGTACGGATTGGTCTCTAAGCAGTTAAAATAAAACATCAAAAATATTGTCAGTAACTTAGAATAAGAATAAAGTTAACTAACTCCAAATCTATTCTGAGAGAATTTCATATCCATTAAATCACATGTTTCCAAATGAAGATTTTAAATGTTGTCTTACATAAAAAAAATGCCCGCCACCAAAGAGCGTAAGAATTAATCAAGCTTCTAGATGAACATACAATGAAATAGCCATATACTCACCGAAACTCAAACCTGAAATAATTTTGTGGTTAATTTATCTCTAAAGATAGGTGTGGAAATACTTAAACAATTAAGAAATTAAGTGTATGTATATGTTAATGAAACATTTTTAATCAACGCCAAGGAGAGGTGCCATTTAATAGTAAAACAACAGCATTTAAATGACATTTTGATGTCTTTGTGGAAATGACATACTCACAGACCCATGTCTCAGCACTGACATTTATGTCTTTTTCAGTTGTATTAATGCTATTAGCCAGTTTAATTCACTCAAGAGTGCAAAGTCAAGTTGTTGTTAATAACTTATATAAGGCACTAGAATAGATTTTCTTTTGAAGTCTTATTTTAATTGGAATTGGCCCTGTAACCTAATGAGAAAACAAAAGAATACACATTAAAGCAGATTCTGTATTCTTTATTATTTTTTTCCCATAAAGAAGAACAATGCAACATTCCATGCTTATGCTTTCTGCCTTTGGGGATCGATGCACAATTGCTGGGGCCAAAACCTAAAATTAGGCCGACTTATTGCGAAAGGTTAATTGACAGCGTTAGGGAGGAAAAGTCTCCCTTGCTACCAAAGGGTTGAAAGCTTGATACACATAACCGTGGAATTGCTGCTACCCACATAACTGCTTAGGATTCATTAACAGAAAAATGTTCTTGCACTTCACAGACAAGCTGATGGTGAACGAGATGTACCAATGTCAGCTAGAAACTTGTAAACCACTGTAATGTAGCTAACGTTATAGTTGTATCACATAACTTAGGTTCAAGTTCTTTCTTCATAATAGCAGGCATTGAAGAGACTTTCGAATGTTTGCCAGTTCTTGCTGTTGCTGTTTCAGGAAAGGAAATATTATTTAGGCAACGGTTGCATACATTTCAGCAAACGAAATCCCCCAGTGCTCACACCCCCACCGCTTAGTTCTTAATATTAAGTATACATTACTTACAACATCCACCACGATTTTGCTCTGCAATTTGGCCATTTCTTGTTTAAATTCTTTTGCCTCATTGGTAACAAGATGTTTCTCATTCTTCTCTAAGTACTCCACATCCTAAAACAAAAAGCCTACTTTAGTTACAAACCACCACTTTTCACCTCACGTTCTAAACGTGTATGTACAATTAAATTTCAAAACAATTCTTTTTTTTTAGATTCAAAGGTATTTATGTATTTATTTAGAGGGGCAGGGAGGGAGAAAGAGAGGGAGATACATCCATCGGTTGCCTCTCACACGCCCCCAACCGAGGGAGGGCCTGGCCTGCAACCCAGGCATGTGCCCTGACCGGAAATCAAACCGGCGACCTTTTGGTTCGCAGGCCGGCACTCAATCCACTGAGCCACACCAGCCAGGGCAGAACTCTCAATATTCACAGGATGCTCATTATTTATTCCAAATAAAAAATATTATAAGGAATGCATGCAGGTCAAAATATCCACTTAAGAGAAATCTTAAATTTCATAGTCACCATTGGAGAAGTGCAACGGTGGTACCCTTTATTGGAAACAACATGTTAACGAACAGGTAAAGTCAGGGTGGAGCAATGAAAGGAAAAAAAATGAGAAAAAGGCTGACAGTCCCGCATCATGAAATACCATAATTTAAAAACCCTCTAATAAGCTTTCTAAACACCAGGTAACGATGTTCTTGTAAGTGACTGATAATCAATATAACATGATTCCATTGGAGAGAATAAAGTGACCTGCAACAGGACCTCTGAAAGTTAGGAAAAAGAAACACGTTCTAAATCTTTCCTCTTCATCCAACTAGTAGTCATCTAGTGCATCCTATATAAAAAGTACTCTGTTAAGTGCTGTGGAGGAACCTAAAACTGAATACACTATCTCTTCCTTATTCCAGTGAGCATAAAAAAAAATGTGTAAATAAAAATAACACCAAAAACTAAAATTGTTCAGTGACAATTAAGGAAACACATCTTACTGTGACTGTGTAGTGAAATATAAGATTATTATTTAGTTGGCATAAGAATGAGATTTCAATAAGCAAAGGAAAGAAGGAGCTAGAAGTATTCTAGGGAAGCCCTGGCCGGCGTGGCTCAGCTGGTTGGAGCATTGTCGTGTAGACCGAAGGGTCATGGGTTTGATCCTCAGTCAGGGCACGTACCCAGGTTGCGGGTCCGATCCTCGTTCAAGGCGCCGACAAGAAGGCAACCAATCGATGTTCCCTTGTTCTCTCTCACATCGACGTTTCCTCCCCCGACCTGTCTGTCTCTTGTATCTCTCCCCGTCTCCCCCTTCCTGTCTCTTTGAAAGCAATGGGGAAAAATATGTCCTCAAGCGAGGACAGAGAAAAAATTCTTGGGGAGGAGCATAAGCAAAGGAAGTAATGGTGAGGTCGTTCAGAGAAAGCGTCTTACAGGGGTGGGAAGGAAAGAAAGAATGTAAGTGTGAAACTACAAAGGGACCCTTGTTATGGGGCAGACGTTGAATACCTGAGAATTTAAAATGGGAAGCTACTGACAGGTTTTCAGGATGGAAAGTATACGTTTTGGAAGATGATGCTGCAGAACTGCGAGGAATGGAATGGAGAAGAGAGAAATCAGATAAGAACTCAGTGGTACAACCTCGGGATGGTGAAGTCCTGAACTAGGGCAGCAGCGGTGGGAATTTAAAGAAAGAAATTAAAGTACAATTGCAGCGACGTCTTCTCAGGCAGCAGTGATAGCAGCCACTCCTGGAGTTTCACTATGCCGCCCAAGGATGACAAGAAGAAGAAAAATGCTGGGAAGTCGGCCAAGAAAGACAAGGACCCAGTGAACAAATCTGGGCACGAGGCCGAAAAGAAAAAGTGGTCCAAAGGCAAAGTTCGGGACAAGCTCGATAACCTAGCCTTGTTTGACAGGGCAACATATGACAAACTCTGTAAGGAACTTCCCAGCTACAAGCTTGTAACCCCAGCTGTTGTCTCTGAGCGACTGAAGATCCGCGGTTCCATGGCCAGGGCAGCCCTTCGGGGGCTCCTTAGTAAAGACTTATTCAACTAGTTTCAAAGCACAGAGCTCAAGTGATTTATACCAGAGAGAGCAAGGGTGGGGATGCCCCAGCTGTTGGAGAAGAATGTGTGAACAACAGGTCCTATCAGCTGTACATTTTGGAAATAAAACTTCATTTAATTGGTTAAAAAAAAAGTACAATTGCAAAAGTAAAAATTGCAGGGCCTAGTAATAACTGGATGGGAAGGATGAGGGGCCCTGGAGGAATCAAAGACAATACTAAAGTTCCTACTCCGAGCACTGACACTTAGTAATAAACTTTAGAAGAAATCTTCCTTAGCACTTTGTCGAATCTTCACAGCAATTAATAACTGGTTCCCAGGGAGCATTAGAGCAGCATGTTGTCTACTTGGAAACACCTGTAAGATGGCTATTCCCTATAAATAATTCTAAAGGGTTAAAAGAATATTTATTTTAAAACTCCTTTACTACTCAAACCATCTCAATTAGTTTAGAAGACTGACATAGTAACATATATTTGAACAAGAGTAATAAAAAGAACATCCTGCCCCGGCTGGGGTGGCTCAGGGGATTGATCACTGGCCTGCAAACCAAAGGGTCGCTGGTTTGACTCCCAGTCAGGGCATGTGCCTGGGTTGCGGGGGGTGAGGGGGCGAGCGAGAGGCAACCACGCATTGACGTTTCTCTCCCTCTCTTTCTCCCTCCCTTCCCCTCTGTCTAAAAATGAATAAATAAAATCTTTTTAAAAAAGAACATCCCATCCAAAAAAGAAGGGGATATATCCGGGATTCTATCACCTCCTAAAGAACTATGTATCTGTATGACGCAGAGGATAACGTCACGAGGACAATCTGCTCTTGTGAGAATGGGACAGTACGTGATTCTCAATTCCTAAACTTCTTGCCCTCCTGAGGCTTTTTCATACTGTCATGCATCCGGGCCTTCTCCTGTGATTGTAAGTTTGCACGTAAAGCCATTTTTAGTCACTATAGGAATTCTAACAGCAAATGTGCCATAAGACGCTCACATAATGTATCTGAAAACAAAAGAGGTATTCAATAATTACAGTTGCTACTTCCCATTTTACAGAAACCGGTGAGACAGAGGAAGTGAAACGCCTTGGAACCTAATCATAGAGTTTTTATGATCCACAATATAGTCATTGCTAGTCTCCTGAAAACCGATCGTTGAATACAAAATTATGATTAAAGCATCACTCTAAGTCACAATGTGTCTATTTCTGGGCAATACTCCCATTTTATCACTTCTTGTTTAATAACACCACAACCCTCTTAATAAATCCTACAGACAAAAATAAATTTAGCACTTACGTTAAACTGAGAACAGTAAGTTGAAATGGAAAATAGCTAAGAATTTAAAATGCATAACCAAAATACTGTTCCCATAAATTGTGAAACAGTTTAACTTCTATTTCAAAATAGACATTATGTTTTATAAGAATGTATTGTGTTACCAAATACAACAGACCTTTAAGAACTGGTCATATACATTTTTAATTTTTTTCAGTCTCTGGCTCTGAGCAGTTCTAGCTTGTTGAAAAAGCCTTCGTTGCTTGTGGAACAAAATCTACAAGTAGAAACGAAAAAAAAGCTGACATAAAGTGTGGTTAATGTGGTAAAATCTAGCAAAACATAACTCTGCATTTAGTTAAAAGGATTATTTTTTAAGTCAGCATTTTTAACAGTGTCCGTGTTAAGTTTCATAACAAAGTTCAGACACCTGTGCTCACCAGTAAGCTACATAAAACACAATAATAGTATACATCAGTCCTTGAGAAGAAAAGTTCCATTCTCGCCCATGTTCAAAACACACGTCTTACCAGGCAGCATACAGAGTTACGAAATACAATAATTCCTGGTACTTTCAAAGTCCACATATGGGCCTTACAATCAACTCTTTAGCAACAATAAGTGAAAACTAGGCAACAATCTTACTTAGTAATTAGGCGGAAAGAATTCTTTCCTAACCGTATGCAAAGCATGTAATAATTATTGGTCATTCAACATCCATACAGATGACTTTCCCAATAATGCAGACCTTTGAGTTCTTCGACCTAACCTCCGGAAACAATTTTGTCTTCTTCCCTAGTTTAGCCATTTACTGACATGTTTGTAGCCTAGACTCTGTCATCCCCAACAACTCTAGTACCTATATAATATGAAGGAGTTCCCTTCAGTTCCCTATAGAGGAACTGTGTGTCAGGTCTTGTCCGGAAAACTTTTAAGTGAACTTACTATATATAGGACCTTATTTATCCTCAAAACAAACCTATGATGTAGGTACTCTTATTATGCCCCTTCATAGATGAGGACACCGAGGCACGGAGATACATAATCTGCCCGTGGCTCCACAGCTAGTAATTAGTCAATCAGAATTGGATCCCAAACGCTACGGTTCCACGGCCCGGGGTCTTGACCACTGTGTGCTATCTGCTTTTTCTCTATCTTCCCCAACATTCGTCCTCTACCTCCCTATGTTTCTTGCTCATTCCCTTTCAATACTACAGCTAAGTAGCTGTCAAGACCTAATACCAATGGAATCGAACACTTTTCATTGCCTCCTATTGCCTTCCCCCATGTCTTCACTTTCCTCCTTCCCAGCTAAATTCCATGGTCGATCGTAATACCTGCACCCTTGCATATGTTCCTTGTCCCTTCTCGCTCTGTCTGTGCGCGTGTATAAACCCCACCCTGAAAGATCCAACCCTCCAGCTGCTCTGCCACAGCACTGCATACTAGTCTCATGATGGACTCATAATCACTATGACACTAACCTGAGCTGGGCCCACCATGATGCCTGGCGATGATATTTCCCAAGTCCATTCACTGGCCCCCTCCCAGGAAACATTTCCACTGCTTGTCCCCTGCCCTCAAAAAGCAACACTCCCTCCACTATCTTTTCCTCCTCGATATGCTCAGGTGAGTCCATTGAGAGTGGCCCATGCCCTGACCACGGCAACTGGTTCAGGAATGAGCAGATGATCCAAACTGGGTGAGTGATACTCCTCCAGAGGCCTTTCCTGCCAAAGATGACTGACAAAGATTGTCTCAGGCCACTGGGGCTACTAACCTGCTGGTGGAGTCTAGATTCTGACCCCATGGGGAGAGCCTAAGAGGAGCTGGAGACAGAGCCCACATGACACTGCCTGAGCAACCTTTTCCCAGCCACATCCAGATGTACCTGGAGCTACACTCACCTGGACTTCTTGAGACAAACCAGGACATTTATCTTCTGCACTTTGGAAAATTTCTGTTACTTGGAACTGCAAGACTCTCAACCGAGAGAGGAAATAAAGACCAAGGCCTTTTGTGAGCATGGGGGATGCCTGCACTTCTCTGATTTTCTGTGACCAGGGCCCAACCACATAGCCAGCAATGGGAACGGGACCCTGGCTCAAGCCTATGAGTCCTAAGACATGGCCAGGCTCTCTATTGCTGCTCGAGACTTGTTAACGACAAACTAATTATAAAGCTAAGCCTGATACCAACAATCAGTTTTTCTTCTTCTTGCTTGGTTTTCTGCACATCTCTATTCCACTCCCAAAACAAAGTCAGAAACTGCTGGCAATATTCGCGATAGAACTTCCGCCTGAAAAACATAATAAGGAGCGCTGTCATACTTCATATCGCTAAGAAAAAAGTAAACGCGTTCAAAACAAAATTGATTTGACAAAAATTATACCACAGAGGGACAAGGGAATAGGAGGAGCTGAAATCTTCTGAGAGAGAACAGAGAAATGGAATGCACGATTTACTGTCATTCCAAGATTATTTGTCCCTAACTGGCTAAGAGGGAAGCTATGTCACACGCCTTAGTTCTTGAAAACTAAGGAAGATTTATTTGTTTTACAAATCTTCCAGGAAACTGCATTGTATCTACAAGGGGTTTTGACAGTTTTTTCTTACTAAAAAACAGAGAGGTTGCGCTATGATAAATAGAATCATTGGAGGTGTAATATCCACTTATCATATAACATTTCCAAACCGGAACATTGCACTTTTTACCCACTTTGGCACAATAAAGATTTTGTACACATGAAGAATAAACCCACTTCAGGTGAATTATTTGCAATAGAAGGTTAACTTCATTCTACTTCAGTGAACATAGTTAAGTAGCAAATCTTCTATCTTTTATTTATCTTTTTATTCATTTATCGTTTATCTTTTATTCAGTTAGCATATTCCTAGAAAGAATATATACATATATATATATATATATTCATACATGCATGTATATCTATATATTCTTTTTCTTTAATACCAAAAAGATGCGATTGTAATGTGAAAGGGGAAAAAGGTCACCTTGTTTTAAAAAAGATTTTATTTATTTATTTTTAGAGGGAGGGGGAGGGAGGGAGAAAGAGAGGGAGAGAAACACTGATCGGTTGCGCCTCGTACATGCCCCGACCGGGGACCAAACCCGCAACCCAGGCACGTGCCCTGGCCAGAAATCGAACTGGCGACCTTCCGGTTTGCGGGACCACACCCAACCGATAGAGCCACACCAGTCAGGGTGGGAAAAAGGTCATCTTTATTGACCTCTAGATAATACACCTTGAATTCAATTAAGGTGTGTGTTTAGAGGCATAATGGATTTTTTTTTTTTTTGCTTTGAGAAAAAATTGAGCCAAATATATTTTTCAACGACTTCGATGAGTAGAAAATAATAGTATTAAGTAATTTGTACCCACGAATACCAAGAAATGATACAAAGTTTCTGCCTCTGAGAAACCAACATCCTTACCTTTGCTCTTGTCGTTTCTTTGCGGCATTCCCAATTTTCTCGTTAATGACTTTGAGGGCAGCATTGGTTTCTGTTACGAATCTTTTTCTCTTTGTACGAAGAACCTTTCTCATGTCTCCTACATTAAACATATACATATGTATGTGTAATGTCGGAATGACATATATAACAGGTGTAACTGATATCTGACAGGACAATTTTAAACTTTCATGTTTATGGTTCTGATCACACGTCGCTATCATGCTAGCAAAAGTGTCTCTAGCTCTCCACTTCAGAGTGTATTAATGTAAAGAGAGCAAAAAAGACTTGTTCCACAGGCTTCCATTTAAACTTCTGCACGATGTATCACTTACTCTGCCACACCAAGTGGAGTAGAAATTATTTCATGTAAATTCTTCCAAAATCACACAGCCCATCAAATGCACCCGTGTCAAAAATAAAAGCATCACTCTTACCTCACCGTTGGTAGCACCATTCTCTCCACATCCACAATAAAGAGGGAAACTAAGGAAATCTATGAAGCCAAATCACACTAAATACTTATTGTACCTAAGAACAAGGCATTAAATGACAGTCTTGCAGACCACTGATGAACGTTTCCCATTGTAAATGGTATACGATTTGAAACAACTTACTTTCAGTACACTATCTCCTCAATCATACCTTTAAATCTTTCCAGCATATTCCGTAATCCAGTCCTGTAAAGGAATTACATGAAGCTTTAATGATGGGTACCTAAAATGCCATGCTTGTTTTGGAGGTAAAAATGCCATGTTTTTGTGGCATTCCCAATTTTCTCGTTAATGATTTTGAGGGCAGCATTGGTTTCTGTTACGAATCCTTTTCTCTTTGTACTAAGAACCTTTCTCATGTCTCCTACATCAAACACACACACACACACACGTACGTACACGCACACACGCACATGGAATGTTGAAATTATTTTTTCCTGCTCGGTCAAGACAGTATGCGCAACAAGATTATTTGCTTCCTTTTTCGTGCGGTGCAAACTTTCCGTTACTCGTACCCCCATTCTAAATTGTATCTCCGTGCAACCTTTTGTTAGGGTGCAGAAAGGCCCAAGGAGCAAAAGTCTCTATTTATCAAAGCGTATAAAATGGGTCTCAGAGACAGTCTTTTATTTCCTCCTGGGGAAACAGTTAAAAAGGCTAATTCTTGATAAATTTATAACAGATCGTCCAACTCAAAGGACACACTTAGATGGACCTTGTTAGATCTTGCTATATAAAACACAGAAAAATCACTCCATTTAAAAAGCCTCCAAGTGTCTCCAAAAGGCCAGGCCAAGTGTTTTACACACAATACTTACTACCTGAGCCGACCCTTTGTTTTCCTATCAGGCAAGCAAAAATGTCTGTATACACATTACCCCATTTCTCTCTCAGAGAATCCTAGATCAGGACCGCCTTCTCCACAGATGTCAATTACTTCACCGTCTTCTGCATCGAAATAAAAAATGGGAAAAATTATTAAATGAATTTAATAACTTCTTTGGGTAAATTGTTCACGGAGAAATCTCCTCACTGTGGAGTGTTTTAGGCTTTTTGCCAGCAGAAGTTTTTAAGGCAGGCCTATGAAAGCAATCATGTGCGTGCAAGTTAGATGGAATCGGTCAGGGACCAGGACCGTGCTATGAAGACGCTGTTGCAAGCCTTTCAGGGTTAATGTCAGAGCCAACCCTGTAGCACACATCAGCTGTTTTGGACAGGAGGAGCTGCTGTGTCAGCTTCTGTCATCCCACTTGGAAGTATGAGGTTCAAGTGGGCAACCTCCAGGACATGAAACTGCCTTCCACACACGTGGATTTTACTGATTACAACGTCGAGGACTCAGAAGCAGGGACACAGTCCCGGCCCCCTGCCCTGCACCTGCACAGGATTCAGAGAGACGGTACCTTTGGGAACCTCCTTCGACTCTCCTCTTCCGAGTCTCCCAGAGTCATAGGCCACCCTAGCCTGATCCTCCAGCAGGGCCTTCAGCTCTCTCCTCAGGCTGCTCCTCTCAGATGGTGCCATCCCGGCGTCTTGCGATAGTCACAGCTCTCCTGCCCCGTGTGAGCGCCAACGCACTTGGAAGGAACAAGGACACGGTCAGTGCGCGATGCTGGGCAAGGGACCTCTGCGCAGACCAGAGTGTGCGTGTGTCGGCGTGCCTCTTGTCCGACCAGGAGGGGCCAGAGCAGACGGGGACACCCGACCCTCCCCACCCAGGGCTGAGATGGAGGGCTGGCACGTGCCCCGGGATGTCAGCCCCCTCTGCCAGACTCTTGCCTCTACGCTGGGACAGCGGCCATCCCTGCCCCTCGGTCCCCACGGGGCAAAGTGCTGGAGGGCTGGCACGTGCCCCGGGACAGCTGATGTCAGCCCCCTCTGCCAGACTCTTGCCCCTACGCTGGGACAGCGGCCATCCTTGCCCCTCGGTCCCCACGGGGCAAAGTGCTGGAGGGCTGGCACGTGCCCCGGGACAGCTGATGTCAGCCCCCTCTGCCAGACTCTTGCCCCTACGCTGGGACAGCGGCCATCCTTGCCCCTCGGTCCCCACGGAGCAAAGCGCTGGTTGAGAGGCTCGACCGGGGGCATGACAAAAGTGTCCCTCCCTATGGACAGAGAATAAGCCTTTCCGCGCCTGTCCTGGAGCAGCCACTTGCCGTGGGAAGCCCGCCTTCTGAACCCCAGGACGACCTCAGAGGACACAACTCTCCTGCCAGGCAGCGGGCCGGGGGCGGGGCGGCGGGGCAGGGCGGGGGACGGATTCGGATTCCCACGGCCCCTGTGCACACGCTGGGACCCTCCCAGGACTTGGGGATCCTCACACCTGTTCCCCGCCCTGCCGACCCTGCCCGCAGGGGTCTCTCCTGTTCTGTCCTGCCGGGCCCCAGGGGACCCGCGGGAACATCACCCATCGCCCGGCGCCTAGCTTCTGGCCCCCAGGGGAACGTCACGTCAGAGGTTCGCCTCATCGCCCCAGCCCAGGCCTCTGCCGTCCCCCGGAAGATCCCCTCAGAGGTTAGCCCTTCCGTCAGGGCCTCGGCCTCCTGCCTACGACCCCCGCCCCCAAACACCACCTCAAAGGTTAGCCTCATCGCCCGGCCCCCCCCCCCCTCCCCCCCATACCCTGTTCCCTCCGTGTCTGAGAAGAAGCAGGGGATCACGGAGGGTCACCGGGCCCGACTCCCCCACACGCCGGCCCGTCCCGAGGGTCCCTCCGTGACACCCCCACCCACGCCCGAGGTCCCTCTGTCTCTCTGTCCCCCCTCTCCGTGCACACCGTCACCGCCACACCACGGAACTCCCCGAAGCTCCTCTCAGTGCTTCTGGAGAGCGAGCAGCCTGCGCGGGAGTGTCACTGATTGGCTGGCCGAGTGCGCATGCGGGAGGTGGGGCCTCCACCGGGACACGCCCCCCGGAAGGGACTGCCCTCTGGCTGCTGCAGCCAGGGCTGGGGACCCAGGGCTCGGGCTTTCCAGTGCCTCCAGTCAAGGACACGCCACGGGTCTTTTTCCTTGGCAAATCGCGAAGGGATATGGCAGTGTAGAACAACTGCTCAAGCCTCCACCTTCCTGATGCGGGAGAATTTACCAATGCCTAGTCAATCTCCTCCTGGTCTCCTTGCCACCCACCCACCTTCTCCTTGCAGAGGAATAGCCCGCCGCCTGAGCGTTCTGTGTAAACCACCCCCTTCCTTTTGCCAGGTGTTAAAAAATAAAGAACGCCTATGTGTCCTTAAACATCGTTGCTGACTGTTGTGTCTGGGTCTCACGATAAATTGTATCGCACTATGCGTGGTATTCTGCCACCTCCTCTTTTACCCAACACTGTGTCACCGAAAGTGTTTACATTATGATTATGACATGTAGCCATCCTGCTATCTCAGTTCATTTATCCGTTTTCTTGTCCGTGGACATCTCGACCCAGACTTTCCACTTTACAGCCTTTACAAGCAGTGATGCTAGGAATATGCTCATGTCTGTCACACGCGCTAAATGCTTTGCAGAGCTTCAAGGAGGGAAGATTGCTGGCTCATAGGCTAGGAGGTGCTTCCTGCTGATGACCCCACCCACAGTTTGAGTTCTGATTGGACCATATGCCCACCCATACAAGGGATAATCAGATTTCTTAACGTTTCCATTTTAGTGAGTGTTAAATTACGTTTGGGCGGGGTCTTCCTTTGCGCTTCTCCAATCACTGATAAGGTAGGTCTTTTGAAAAGAGTCCTTGTCAGCCATTTCAATCTGCTTTTCCGTTACATTATCTATGCGGGTGTCCATGACTTTTTTTCAATTGCATAAGGATGAGTTTCTTGCAGTTTGGTGGAAGCACTTCGTGCACCCCAGATAGCAATCATTACGGCGGTGGTTGCATTTAACGGTAATCAAATATAAACCATGCAAATTTTACCATTTTTAGGTGTACAGTTCAGTCAGTACCATCGAGTGCATCCTCGTTGTTGTACAACCATCACCACCATCCACCTTTGGAAATGTTTCATCTTTCCGAACTGAGACTCAGTACTCATTAGGCACTTATTCCCTGTTCCCTCCTCCTCCCAACCCCTGGCAACCCAGCATTTCACTCTCGGTCCCTATGAATTTGACAACTTCTGGGTACCTCATACATTCACTATTTGTGCTCTTGTGACTAGCAAAATGAATCTTGCGGCACGTGTCAGAATTTCGTTCCATTTTAAGGGCAAATAATAATCCGTAAGAATGAAACATCGCCATTTGTGACAATATGGACGGACCGAGAGGGTATTATGCTAGGTGACAAAAGTCAGAGAACGACAAAGACCATACGATTTCACTTATATATGGGATCTAAAGAACAAAGTAAATGAACAAACAAGACAGAAACAGACTCGTAGACGCAGAGAACAAACTGATGGTTGCCAGATGGGAAGGCGGTTGGGAGGCTGGGAGAGGAAGGTGAAGGGATTAAGAGGTACAGATTGGTGAGTACAAAAGAGTCACGGAGATGTAAAGTACAACATAGGGAATATAGTGAATAATATTATACTAACCATGTATGGTGCGAGGTGGGTGTTAGAATTATCGGGGGAGATTTCCTGGTAAATTATATGTGTCTAATCACTATGCTGTACACCTGAAACTAATATGAAATAATGTTGAATGTCAACTGTAGTTTAAAAAGGATCCATTGTAAGTATATGCCAGTTTGTTTGTTTGTTTTTTCTGTTCCTTTGTTGACGGACACTTAGACTGCTCCCACCCTCTTTCTATTGTGAATAATGTTGTGTGACTATGGGTGCGCGAATGCCTGTTTGACTCCCCTTTCACTTATTTTGGGTATATACCCAAAAGTGGAGTCGCTGGGTCATAGGTTAACTGTCTTTTTAATTTTGGGGGTAACTGCATGCTGCTTTCCATAACGCCTGCACCATTTAACACTTCCACCAGCAATGCACAAAGGTTCCAGTTTCTCCACATCCATGCCAGCAGTTGTTAATCTGCTGAGTTCTGTTTTTGTTTTTTTTTTTTAAACAGCAGGCACCCCAGTGAATGTGAAGTGTTATCTCATTGTGGCTTTGATGCGCCTTTCCCTAATTTTTAGTCATGTTGAGCGCCTTTTCATGTGCTTATTGGCCATTTGTATGCTTTCTTCGGAGAAATGTCAATTCGAGTCCTTTGCCGGGTTTTTGATCATGGTATCTCCCATGCCAGGTAAGTAGCCTTTTGCCAGTTTTTAAATCAGGTATTTTTGTTGTTGTTGTTGTTGTTGTTGTTGTTGTTGTTATTGCCCTGGTGGTGCTGGTGGTGTGGCGGCGGCGGTTGATTTGTAGGAGCTCTTTATATGTCCAGGATTTTCATCTCTCATCAGATATATTATTTGAAATTATTTTCTTCCGTTCCATGAGTTGCCTGTTCTCTCTGTTGATCATGTCCTTTGATGAACAATCCTTTTAAATGTTGACATAGTACAAGTTACTTATTATTATTAATTTTTTTCTTTCTTGACTCCTGGGCCTTTTAAAATCAAATTACCTTAACCCTGAGGCCATAAGAGTTTCCCCCTTAACATTGAAAAGGTTTTGAATGGTTTTTAAGGTGTTGTTTTGCATTTTGAAGGCTTTGCTCCTGTAGAATGGATTTTTGTGCTTGCTGTCAGATAGAGATCCCATTGCCTTTTTCTTCCTGTGGATGGTACAAACTAATTGTACCATCCTTGCTTATTCAGCGGTGTACACTTCCCCACGGTCAGCTCCGCCAAGTTCCCGTGTGTCCCCCATTCTCCTTCTCTGGTTGGCTCCACCGGTCAGTTTACTTATCCTGCGCCCAAACGACGGCTTGTAGTAGAATGAAGATTCCAAGTCAGATCTAAGTTTGAATCCTCGGACATTAGCCTGCACTGCGATGCCTAAGGTCCTTCGGTGATTCCTCAGCGCCTCCACAAGAGGGGCTACGCTACCTGTGAGGACCCTGAGCATCTTACTTTGTTTCAGTCCCCTTTTATCCTCTCCATGCGGAGCTTCTTGCAGTGTCCTCAAGCACAGCATTGCCGTCTTGCGCCACGGGGCCTTTGGACAGGTTCAGCCGACTTCTGACTCCTCCGTCGAGTCTCGGTTTGCACTCCTTCCTTTGCCTCCCACTGTGACTTGTGCAGCCTCTCTCCTCTTACTACACCGTAATCCCATCATTCTGTGTGCTAAGGAGACCGTAGTATTTTGCCTCACTTTGACCATGCTGGAAACCCGAATAATTCTACCAAGCAGTTTCAGACTTTATCATTCAAACTGATTAGTGTTTATCCAGAAATAAAAACCACACCTCCGTAAGCTTTATTGCCCCTTGAAAGTGTCCAAACCCGTGACTCGTGCGCTTATCTTAAAAACCCTCTGGGAGAGGAGTTCGCAGAACCCCACTTTATAGTTTAGGAGACTAGGGATCAAAGAGTACGACTCGTTACCCATGTTCACAGAGCTTCACTGTAGAGGTAGGGTCGGACCTTTGGTATTTTGATCCATGGCTCTCCACAGACCCTCACCTGTCACTGTTGCGTCTTCCTTTGCTGCTCTGGAAATAAGCTGTGTCTTCAGCTGTGAATGATTGTCCCTAGCAGTGTTTGCGTCTTCCAATACTGTTGTAAATGGTTTCCGGAGTGTGAGTGTAGACGAGGAAGTCCTTTACAAAGTTGCCATTTTCCATGTACATTTCAAAACAAAGTAACCAAAGGAGGTACTGTCTTTGACGTTTTGGGGTGCACCTACAAGTTGTGAAACGATACACGCATTGGAAGGGTTTGCGCGGACCAGGCCAGATGGAAAGAAAAAAGAGAGCCACCCTCGATGGAGCAGGGTTCAGCCGTAGTTCAGCAGCGTAGTTGAACGTTGTGCGCAGCGGAATTTTCAGGAGCATTCTGATTCTCTAAGACTGGCGCGAGAGCAGGGTAAAAAAGCCCCCTCCCACAAGGGATGTGGACAGCTTATAAAAGTAATGTAAGGTAAGGGCTGTGGCAGGTCCTGACTCTACAGAACCAGCCTATCCTCCGTCCTTTCGTCCTTACGACCAGAACCTGGACCCTGTCGCAGCAAGAGGTGGGAACAGGACTTGGTTCGGCCCCTGGGCTGGCCATAGCACACGTCCCAGGTGACGCTGGTGGCATTTCTAGGAGGCCTTCATGAATTGGGCAGATGCAGCTGGCTTCTTCCTTTGCTCTTTCCCCTTTGTCCTGCCAGGAATACAGATGCAGTGCTTGTGACCTTGGAGACAGAAACCACAATGGAAGACGGAGGGGCAAGAAGAGAGAAGAACATGATTCCTTGAGCCGTAGTACCAGCCCTGAGTTGTCTGTCCTTCCTGCCTCGCAGCTGGAATAAATGAACCCCTATTTGCCTAAGCCACTGTTGGAAATGCAGTCAAATGCGGTTCATGATGATGGAGCACTACAAAGCTAAAATTGGTTTTTACCCAACTTGCCTTAGTTATGGTAGACAGTTACCGTTGTAACATTTAAAGCCAAACATGCACAATGACTCAAACGTAGGTCATTTGTTTCTCCCGTAACATTACTGCGCAAGCCAGAAGGCCCTCCTGGTGGGCTCTACCCGTGCGCTTCTACAAGGGAC